TTTCCTCGCTCCAGGTCCCCCTCCGGTAGACCCCCTTCCCCCTCAGGGTCCTGCTCCTTCAGGTGTCTCTCAGGTAGACCCTCCTCCCGTCGCTGAGCCTGTCGAGGTCACAGGTGACTCAGGTGCTGCTGCGGGTGGTACTGCTGGGGGTGCTGAGCCTGGGGGTGCTGCCACTGGGGGTGCTGACACTGGGGGTGCTGAGCCTGCAGGTGCAGAGACTGGGGTTGCTGAGACTGGGAGTGCTGAGCCTGGGGGTGCGGAGCCTGGGGGTGCTGCGCCTGGGGGTGCTGAGCCTGGGGGTCCTGGGGCTGGGAGTGCTGAGCCTGGGGACGCTGAGCCGGGGTTTGCTGAGCCTGGAGGTTCTGGCGCTGCTGGTGCTAACACTGGAGCTGGGGGTCCTGGAGCTGCTACGGACACTGGCGCTGCGGGTTCTGAGTCTGCTGTTGCGCGGTCTCCTTGGAGTAGCCGCCTTCGTACGCGTGTGCCTCTTACCTCCCAGCAGCTGCGCGACTGGTACGGTCGCCGTCAGCGTCGCGCTCTTGTGCCTCGGGACCCTGCTCCTGGTGGTACTTCCGCTGACGTCACTGGAGCTGCGGGTGGTGCTGGTTTGTTGTCTCCTGGGGGTGCCCACGTCGCTGGTCCCGGAGGTGCTCGTACCGCTGGTACTCGAGCTGCTGGGGCTGGTGGTGCTGTGTTTGAGAGTCCTCCTCCTGGGGACGTTGCGACTGGGGGTGCTGGTTCTGGAGGCGCTGCGACTGGTGGAGACGGTCCTGGAGGAGTTGCTGCTGGGGGTGGTGGAGCTGCTGTAGTTGCTGGAGCTGCTGGTGCTGGTGACACTACACAGACGCGCCTGTTCTTTGCTCCGCCGTCTTCGTCGTCTCTGCCACCTCCTGACTCTGTCCTTCGCCAGGTTCTTAGTCTTCCGTCTTCTACCGGTCTTCCCCTCCTGCCTGACTCACCGCTTCCTGCTCCTTCTCCTTACACTGAGCGGTCAGGCGGTCTTACTAAGCGTCGTGAGCCTGCGTCGCGTCCTGTCTCGCCAGTTCGCTCTGGTCGCACCGTTCGTCGTGGTCCGCGTTCGCGGTCACCGTCCGTCCCCCGCACACGCCTTGTCGTTCGTCGTTCTTCCTCTGTTCCGCAGTCTGTTCCTCTGCCGTCCCCTCCTGAGTCGTCTTTGCCTCACGTTCCAGACCCTGAGTCTGACCGGTTTCGTGCTGAGCACCCTACTGTCACGCGTCTGCTAGCCACTGTTGTCACTGACCCCTCGTTTGAGTCTTCTGCTGCGTCTGCCTTGGTCGCTGAGCTTGTTGACTTTGCTGCTGCCTGTCGTCTAGACTACGCTGCTAGCCTTGTTGCTGAGTCTGAGTCTGTCTGTCCTCCGTCCGTCGGGGGTGAGTGTGCTCTTGGCACGGACGTCCTTGAGGACAGGCACGAGGACCTTGAGTGCCTTGCAGCCGCTGCGCCTCATCTCATGGCCATGCTGCTTGCCCCTGAGGGAGACCCGGATGCTATAGACATCCCTACCCCGCGATCTTACGCTGAGGCGATCGCGGGTCCCTACTCCTCTCAGTGGCAGGCAGCCATGGACGCAGAGATGGCATCCTGGAAGTCCACTGGCACTTACGTCGACGACGTTCCCCCTCCTGGGGCGAACATCGTCAGTGGCATGTGGATTTTCAGGGTGAAGCGGCCGCCGGGTTCTCCGCCTGTCTTCAAGGCTCGTTACGTTGCCCGAGGCTTCAGTCAGCGAGAGGGAGTCGACTTCTTTCAGACCTTCTCCCCCACCCCGAAGATGACCACTCTTCGGGTACTGCTGCACGTTGCTGCTCAGCGTGACTACGAGCTTCACTCTCTTGACTTCAGCACAGCTTTCTTGCAGGGCAGTCTGCACGAGGAGATCTGGCTGCGCCGCCCTCCTGGCTTCACTGGGTTGGTTCCTCCTAGTACTACGGTCTCCGCCAGGCGCCACGTGAGTGGCACGACACACTGAGGACTACGCTTGCGGCTCTTGGGTTCGCGCCGTCTACTGCTGACCCGTCGCTGTTTCTGCGCACCGACACTTCGCTGCTGCCGTTCTACATCCTCGTGTACGTCGACGACTTGGTCTTTGCCACTGCTGACACTGAGGCTCTCGCCCACGTGAAGTCCGAACTGCAGAAGAGACACACGTGCACAGACCTGGGTGAACTGCGCAGCTACCTTGGCTTGCAGATCACCCGGGACAGAGCACGCCGCACCATCACACTGACTCAGTCACACATGATGCAGCAGGTCCTTCAGCGCTTCGGCTTCACCTGGTCCTCAGCACAGGCCACTCCTCTGGCCATAGGTCACTCGCTCTCAGCTCTGCCTTCAGATGAGTCCGTAGAGCCGAGTGGTCCTTACCCAGAGCTAGTTGGTTGCCTCATGTACCTGATGACTTGCACTCGTCCTGACCTAGCGTACCCTCTTGGCCTTCTGGCTCGCTACGTGGCTCCTGGCAGGCACCGAAAGGTGCACTGGGATGCTGCGAAGAGGGTATTGCGCTACTTGTGCAGTACATCGGGCATGGGGCTCGTGCTTGGAGGAGGGAGCCCAGTTGTTCTCACTGGGCACTCAGACGCTTCTTGGGTTGACGACCAGGCTACTCAGCGGTCGTCCCAGGGTTACACCTTCAGTCTTGGCTCTGGCTCTGTTTCTTGGCGTTCTACACGTTCGTCTTCAGTTCTCAGCTCCAGTTGTGAGGCTGAGATCTACGCCACAGCCATGGCTGCTCAGGAGTTACGCTGGCTCACCTACCTGCTGACCGACCTGGGAGAGCGGCCTCGTTCTCCTCCAGTGTTGTACGTCGACAACAAGGCTACCATTGCCTTGTGTGAGGAGCACAGACTGGAGCACAGAACAAAACAACATCGCTCTACGGTACTTTCTGGCTCGAGAGTTGCAGCAGCGTGGTCAGCTTCGTCTGCATTACGTGGCCACTCAGGCCAACACTGCTGATATATTCACCAAGGCACTCCCGCCTAGTGATCATCAGCGCTTCTGCACTTTGTTGGGGCTTGTGCCCACTTTTCCTCACTTGCTGTAGACTTTGTGTGTATTGTGATCTAATATATATATATAGATATATATATATATATATATATATATATATATATCTGCATGCTTGCTAGATATAGGTCACTGTGATGCTTGTGTTACATATATGCCTCTGCATGTGAACTGGCCTTGTGGCTCTTTGCCTGTGGTCAGAGTATGTGGTGACGTTATGATCCACCCTGGGCTTGCTTGCCTTTCTTGACTGGTCTTGTGACCCCTTGCTCTCCCCCACTTTGCCTATGGGGGTGTGTCAACCATCATACTTGTGTTGTTGTTGTGTAGGCTACAGTGGGTTAGCCTTTAGGGGGTACACAATTCTAGGGTTTTGTATTTGTACTCCCAACTTCTCATAGTGCACACACTTCTCATTCTGACAGGATGCAATGTGGAGGGGATGTGATAGCTAGGAAATGGGTACATGCGATGCTACGCTGTAGATTTGTACGTGCTGCTGTGATGCGTCTTTCTGCGTAACACCAAGTGCTCGATGTGTTGCCTTTTCCGAATTTGTTTACAGGCATGCCCGGCGCCAAACTTCCGAACCTCGTGCCCATTGTTGTGAGCCAGTCAAATTCGGCCAACTGGGTACTGTCATGCCCTGGATATACACCCAGGCCTCAGATACACCCATGCGCTTAAAATCGTACTGGTGTGCTTATAGGCAGGGGCCGACTATAAGCCCACCCTAATTTTGGGTCATCTTCGTATAAGCGCACCTAACGATTTTTTGCTCAAATCTGTGTTTTTTCTAGTGAGTTTGCCACTAACGCGTTAGGAGCAATCGTCGCTGATGTGCCTGGCGAGATTCTCCCTGGCCCCCCTGGCGAAATTGCCACAGGCGCGCACGTGTTAGCAGCATTTCAGCACGTGATGGCAGGGAATCTTGCCAGGGTGGCACATTTTCGGTAAATCTCGTAGCAACTGTTAAAGTAGGCTCTTAGCTAGGAAACTAGGTTGGGAGCCATGGCTAGGGTTTTGGACTTAGAAAAGTGGCGAGAGAAAAGGAGATGGCCAAAAAGGGGTTGCACTAGAAAGAGTGGTACAAGATATAGGCAAGGCAAAGGGTACACCACCAGCAGTTGATATAACTAACCTAATACACTAGTAAGCTGTAGGCAGGTATAAGATATGCAATATAAATTAACAGCAACCACTTTTTTGGTAGATTCGATTGAAACTGCAAGGCTGAGATCTACATTTCTATGTATCAAAATCATAATTCTCTTAGTGCCATTTATTTAGCCCATGGGTTTATAAAAAATTCCACATTATAAGCCCACCCACCATTTTTCCAGGCTTTTTTATACCCCCATATGGGGGTATATCCGGGGCATGATGGTACCCAGTTTTCTGTCGCACAATGTCGTGATACATCAGCTGTTTGTGACGCATGAAATTGTAAATTTACAGACGCGACTCGGGAAAAGGGGCATTGAGACACAAGTGTCTACACTGGAATGTACCCTAAATGTTCAAACATTTTGGGACCTCTCCTAGACTTATCATTCGAAGGGGAGGGGGGGAAGAGCAGGGGGGTGGGGGGGGGGGGGGGGGGGGGAGGGGGGGTAAATGTGGTACGCAACAGGACATCTCCTAGACTTATCATTCAGAGGATTACAGTACCTTTTCACAAGTGGTTGCAAGTAGGGATGTTACCGGTATGGTAAAGATTCCACTGTATCAGAATGCCATGAGGGAAACATTTGCACCAAACACTAAGCAGCAGTCATACAGAGGGAGGCAGTAGGTACCTTGCGCATTTGCAGTTCCTGCATAAGAACTCCATTCGTGAAAGCAGGGCACCCATGCTCCCTCAAACGGGTTCCTAAGTACACAACTTAGAGCACTTCGTGTTAACAATGGATGGACCAACCTCCTCATACTCGCTCTTCGTAATACACATCTGCATCACCAAAGGTATGTCAGCGCATAGAACCAAGGAAGGCATAGCAATAGAAAATGCAGAAAACGCATACCTGCTGGAATGTGCTCAGAGCCGCATACATGGATCCACCAATCCATGCACTGTACCTCCGCTCAGGTGGAGCAACCACCTTAACGTAGTTGGCTGGAGCCAGCTGAGTCACTTCCTTGGTCACACGCTCAGCGATTCCAGGGAATAAAGTGGTACCGCCGCCGAGAACAATGTTGCTGTACAAATCCCGCCTGATACCTTCCTCACACTTCATGATGCTGTCGTTGCACAACTCATGGATACCCGGGACTTCCTTGCCACCCAGCGACGGGTTGAAGAGCGCTTCTGGGCACCTAAACCGCTCAGAACCAACCGTAATCACCTGGCCATCAGGAAGCTCATAACTCTGCTCCAGAGTAGACGAGCTCTCTACAGTCGCCATCTCCTGCTCGAAATCAATGGCAACGTAAGCGAGCCTCTCCTTGATGTCCCTCACTGTTTCCCGCTGGACGGATGTGGTGAAAGAGTAACCCCTCTTACTGAAGAGCACAACCAGGTAATCAGTCAAATCACGACCGGCAAGATCCGAACGGAGAATCGCATCTGGCAGAGCGTAACCCTCGTGGATGGGGACAGCGTGGGTCACACCATCACCGGATTCCAGAACAATACCTGAAACCAAAGCAGGATATTAGAAGCAGAAACACATTGCGAATGCGACTGCATGGAGAAACAGGCCAAAACTTACCAGTGGTATGACCGCTGGCATATAAGGAGAGCACGGCCTGAATGGCGACATATGTCGCCGGCACGTTGAATGTCTCAAACATAATTTGCGCCATCTTCTCGCGATTCGCCTTGGGATTCAGCGGAACCTCAGTCAAAAGCACCGGATGCTCCTCTGGAGAGACATGAAGCTCATTGTAGATGGCGTAGCGCCAAATATGTTCCATGTCATCCCAGTTCGTCACAACACCTGGAAAGTCAAAACACGCGAAGGTCAGAGCGAGAATAATTACTATGATGTGTGCGTACTTATTCATTCAGCAAAGTTAATCTCACCATGCTCGATAGGATGCTTCAGCGTCAAAACTCCACGCTGGGCCGTGGCTTCATAACCAACGGCTTCATCCCTGTCGGCCATTAGCTTCACACCTTTATGGCGAGCACGACCAACAACGCTGGGAAATGCACTCGGATCATTATCTCCAGCGAATCCGGCCTGGAAAATAAGGCTCACAGTGCATTAGACGGAAATCACGAGCATGATGGATCGACAATGCCAATGCTACCCACCTTCATTATGCCGGATCCGTTGTCGATCACAAGAGCCCGCATGTCGTCCATGTTGAACGATCTTCACTGTGGAAGGACATTACCCAAAGTGAAGGAAAGAAAGAAAATTAAGAAATCGCCTAATGCAATTCAGTGATCACGACCAGCAGTTGTGCTCACCAGGCCGCGAGGAGGAAGGTTGGGTTGGGACGGGTGCTGAGAGCTTCAACGAAATGAGGGCGCAAAATATAGAAAGAGCTGCCTTTCCCTTAGCTCTTGCAAGAGCCAGCCGAAATTGTGAACTCCAATTCGTTCAGTTCGCCAAACTTCGAATGCGGTTCGTGAAAAATCTCATCTTGACATGTCAAGATGAGATTTTCACCGACCCCTTCACTCCACCCTCTCTCTACACGAGAGATTCTTCCATGAGGTTTGGTCCGACTTCCGTCAGATCACATCCCAAAATCTATCCGCGAAAGGGATGGGACATATGGGACATATGGGTCATATTTGTCGTTCAGAGCTTCTTGACGCATGGGACATTTTCAGGTGCAATCTCTGCTGTTCGTATGTATTATCCAAGCATTCTCGATTTGCCGTGCGGGCTAAAAGGGAATGGTTCTGAGTGCCCGACGGATTTGAATCCCTGGAAAGTCGAGCGTACGTAATGAGGCTGGCAAGCAAGCGATGAATTTGGCAACAGCAGCACATGACCACACTGTCACAAAAAGTTCCGCGATTAATCCTTTCCATGAGGCCTGCCTTGAACTGCATGTATTAATGGCCAAGCATTCCAGTTAATGAAGATGTGGATCATTTTCAAAATACTTATGTACAGCAGTATGCCTCTGTGTTCAGGTAAGCCATATCACACTACCAAGCTTGCAGAGCCCTCTTCAGAACCCACGACCATCACCCTTGAGTTCTTCATAGCACTAGCAGAAACAAGGGATGATACACCAGACGAACTGATCGGCACAGAAAAGAAGCTCAAGCATTGAGCTCTCTTTGATGAAGACTGTACACCGTGCTGCTTCCCTGCTACACTCCCAGAAAGGCCCCCGTGGCTCCTTGCATAGTGGCGCATGGCTCCATTGGAGTGAGGGTCAAGTGCCTCAAGCTCAGATGCCCACGCCCATGCAATCATGTCGCCCGAATCACTGAGAGGAGGAGGCAGGGGCAGGGGAAGGGGAAGGTGGGACATCGGGGGAGTGTTCAAAGGAGCATTGGATGGACCACGAGGCAAGAGGGCCGAATGTCGGGGTGAGAAGGGAAACGAGGCAAGAGGCCTAACAGTGGTCCCAAGCACTGAGAGAGAAGAGAAGGGAATGAGGTGATGTCACTCGGAATCTGTGAGATAGGTTGGTGGGAGCTCCTGTAGACCGTGGAACTTATAACACGATGCCAAGATGCTTCTTCGTCCTACGTCCTCCTCCCCTCACCTGCCAGCGAGGACAGACTGGTCGCCGAGAGGCTTGCAGCACGTGAGGCCGCCACCTGGACAGTGCTGAGACGCCAGCTCAGCACCGCCCATGCGCATCTGATGTTGAGAGCCAGGTGGCAGAGGAGGAAGGGCGAACAAGAATAGCAGCGAGATGAGTAGTGTGACAAGGAGCTCTGGGTGAAGTGGCTTATGAAAGTTTCAAAAAGTTGAGAATCCTCAAAAGATGAGCAGTGTGATAAGGAGCTGTGTGTGAAGTGGCTTATTGCGTAATGTGCATCAGGAGGTGCAGCAATGGCAATGAGGAGGTGCGGCAATGGGGAAGTTTGGCAATGGGGAGGTGCGGCAACGGGGAGGTGCGGCAACGGGGAGGTGCGGCAACGGGGAGGTGCGGCAACGGGGAGGTGCAGCAACGGGGAGGTGCGGCAACAGCGAGGTGCGGCAACGGGGACGTGCGGCAACGGGGAGGTGCGGCAATGAGGAGGTGCGGCAATGGGGAGGTGCGGCAGTGGGGAGGTGCGGCAATGGGGAGGTGCGGCAATGGGGAGGTGCGGCGTTGGGAAGGTGCAAGCCCTTGTAAGCAAGCACAAGCCCTAACGCACTCTGAGCCCAATTGATATCAGGAGCGGTTGGGCAAACTAAGCCCCTGCATGCGAGAGCACAGGGGCCTGTCACTGTGAGCCTTGAAGCCCCTCAAGCCCTTGAAGCCTCACCTCCAGCACTCTGAGAACCCCTATGGAATCGGCAGCAGTGATGTGCAACCCCCCATACAAGAACACCAGCACTGCTGGCACTGCTGTCACTGTCAGCCTTAAAGCCCCTCAAGCCCTTAAAGCCTCACCTCAAGCACTCTTAGCCCCCCTGAGGAGTCGGCAGCAGTGAGGTGCAGCCCCCCATACGAGAACACCAGCCCTGCCACCGCTAGCGGCGACGTGGGGGTGGTGAGGGGCGAGAGGCGGCAACTCCAGGGGACAGAGGCAGAAGGGGGCGCACGCATGTCCCACAGCAGCACAGCGCCTGGAGGAGGGGCATGGAGCAGTGTGGAAGAGAAAATGGGAGAGGGAATAATGATGGGGGTGGGTGAGAGGGGAGAGGCGGCAGCTCCAGGGGACACAGGCCGAGCGGGGGGCACGCATGTCCCACAGAGGCACAGCGCCTTGAGGTGGGAGATGGGGAGACGAGTGAGGGGGAGAAGCAATGGTGAGAGAGGGACTATGTATGTGTATGGGGAACATGGTTCCCACGGATAGAGGCACTGGGGTCTCACAGAGATTTGTAGAGAGAGGTAGCGGGTGGTTCGTGAGACGTTTCATAGCTCATCTGCTTCAAAATGTGCCAGTAGGGCACAAGAGTGTGAGCGACATATGTATATTTATAAAGGCGTTTCACGAGAGTCTAAGAGGCATACGATACGGCAACACAGTCGTCCCCCATGCTGAGCTGTCGTTCTCTCACCATTGGCTGACCCCGAGGCGGCAAGGGGCCATGCTGACGTGGCAGGGATGGCCACTTGGAGCGATGTGATTGGTGCGTCGTGCTGATTGAGCTCCGCTAGAGGAGGTGGGTGGACTGATGTGGGGGAGATTGATAGGGGGGAGGTTGAGGAGGGGCGAATGTGGGGAAGAGAGAGAGGGAAGGTGAAATCTGCCTGTACCAACAACCGCATTAATACAAAGTACGTTTGGGAAGGTGGAATAGAAAAACGATGGCTGCTTCGTGTTGATGCAGCCCAGCCTGAGGAGAATGGCCGTGTGTGTAGTGCTCTTGACACACTTCAAACGAGGAGACGGGTGGTGGAGGGACGGAAAGAGATGAGACCAGTTTTGAGTCACCTTAGTAATAGTTTCATATCAGGATGGGGGTGGATTGATGGAAAGAAGAAGGAGATGAGGGTGGAGGAGAAAAGAGGGAGCGTTGAGGAAGAAGCAAGGCGCATTGAGAGAGGAGAGGCAAAGGGGGAACGAAAAGAGTTGGACGTGCACTGGGAGACTTGGTCACTTTGAGAATTCTCAAATGGGAAAGGAAGGTGAAATAAGGAGCCCTATAGGGGCGGCTGCTTCACGCTGATGCAACTGCGTGTTCCAGGGGTGCACTGGCGACGAGATGGGATGGGAGATAGGCAGGGAGATAAGTAGGAAGTAATGGGAATGGGGACAGAAAGATGGAGGAGCAATATAGGGAGGGCGGGGGAGAGAAGACAGAGACATGGTTTGAGGTTTAGTGTGTCATGGGTTTGAGTGCCATCATCGAGGGGAGGAGTGGTGGAGTGATGGAAGGAAGAAGGATACACAAATCACTCTGATAAATGAGACATGCTTCACTGAGGGAGAGGCGGGGAGGACCAAGGAAGAGGCAGAGCGGGAAGGAGGAGAAGGAGGACGCAAGGTTACGAAGAGTGAGCATACGTAAGTAGCATAGCCTCACCTGTTGTGTGCGAGCCGCTGTGGGAGTGGGGCGAGGAGGAGGAGAAGGAGGCGAAGGGCGAGGCGGAGAGGAAGGGCGAGTGGGCCATGCTCCACTGCTTCACACTGCCGTCCCATGATGCTGTGACCAGACACGTGTCAGCGCCCCATTGGCTGACCTGAATGCATGACACCGTGTCATCGTGTGCATGCATCTGATGGCGGCACACAGGCGGGCGGGCAGGCAGGGAGCAGCGGGACAGGAGGGAAGGAGAGAAGGGGAGGGAGGGCAAAGGAGGTGACTGGCATGCACAGCACCGTGTCATCGTGTGCGTGCATCTGGTGTGGCGACAGGCAGGCGGGGAGCAGTGGGATAGGAGGGAAGGAGAGAAGGGGAGGGAGGGCAAAGGAGGTGACTGGCATGCACAGCACCGTGTCATCGTGTGCGTGCATCTGGTGTGGCGACAGGCAGGCGGGGAGCAGTGGGATAGGAGGGAAGGAGAGAAGGGGAGGGAGGGCAAAGGAGGTGACTGGCATGCACAGCACCGTGTCATCGTGTGCGTGTGCATCTGGTGTGGCGACAGGCAGGCGGGGAGCAGTGGGATAGGAGGGAAGGAGAGAAGGGGAGGGAGGGCAAAGGAGGTGACTGGCATGCACAGCACCGTGTCATCGTGTGCGTGCATCTGGTGTGGCGACAGGCAGGCGGAGAGCAGTGGGATAGGAGGGAAGGAGAGAAGGGGTGGGAGGGCAAAGGAGGTGACTGGCATGAACAGCACCGTGTCATCGTGTGCGTGCATCTGGTGTGGCGACAGGCAGGCGGGGAGCAGTGGGATAGGAGGGAAGGAGAGAAGGGGAGTGATGGATATACACCCAGGCCTCAGATACACCCATGCGCTTAGAATCGTACTGGTGTGCTTATAGGCAGGGGCCGAATATAAGCCCACCCTAATTTTGGGTCATCTTCGTATAAGCGCACCTAACGATTTTTTGCTCAAATCTGTGTTTTTTCTAGTGAGTTTGCCACTAACGCGTTAGGAGCAATCGTCGCTGATGTGCCTGGCGAGATTCTCCCTGGCCCCCCTGGCGAAATTGCCACAGGCGCGCACGTGTTAGCAGCATTTCAGCACGTGATGGCAGGGAATCTTGCCAGGGTGGCACATTTTCGGTAAATCTCGTAGCAACTGTTAAAGTAGGCTCTTAGCTAGGAAACTAGGTTGGGAGCCATGGCTAGGGTTTTGGACTTAGAAAAGTGGCGAGA